TTTCATTTGTTATCATAGAAGGCAGTCATGCTCCTAAGGAGAGGGGAGGAAAGACTTAAAAGAATACAAACAGGACTTTCCTATTTAAAAGGAGGCTGTTAAACTAGTCTTTTTAATGACCATAATTAAGTCATGGGAATAGAATTTTAATAGAATCTGCTTAGAACTTCTGAAATCTGAATTTAGTTCCAAACAATTATATGCTACTCTTATCAGGTTTTTCCATCAGATTCATTTAGCTATTGTGTTTGAGACAAACAGTACTATGAATTGTGCTGACAATGGAATATGTGAATAAGTAAATAAAACATGTTAATCTCTTATTAAGAAAACAATGATGATGAAATAGTAACAACACAGGCTACAGTGGATATTGCTGATTTAATAATTCCTGTGTGTGGGGAGCTTAGTTTAAGAATGTTTCTGCTGGGAAGAAGTTGTTCACATTTTGTTCTTAAAATTTTACCCCTCTTTAAACCCAGCTCAGTTGTTACTTTCATAGGAGTGACTGTCTGTTTCTCTTCAAGAAAAGAGCTCTCACGTCACATGTCACACCATGCTCTACTTTCTAGACATCTGTGTGTGGCTTCACTTTACCTGCTGCCTCATCAACTCCTTAGGGGAGAATCCCTTACAGACAACTTCACCTGTTCTGTTGCAACTTAACAATACTCAGTATATTTATTTTTTAAAAAAGAAAGCATGAATGAGGACACTCTATTATTTGCTAGCTGTGTGATCTTAGGCAGCATCTTATAATCTTTGTGCTTGTTTCTTCATATATAAAATGGTGACAACTGTGATCTTTTTTTTAAATATATTTTTTATTGATTAAGATATTACATATGTGTCCTTGTCCCCACGTTACCCTCTACCCCCCCGCCCAGCTCTTGCCCTCCCCCCCGTTGTCCGTGTCCATTGGTTAGGCCTATATGCCTGCATGTAAGTCCTTTGGTTGATCTTACCCCCACCCTCCCCTACCTTCCCTCCAAGGCCCGACAGTCCAATCAATACCTCTCCGTCTCTGGATCAGTCTTTGTTCATCAGTTTATGTTGTTCATTATATTCCACAAATGAGTGAGATCATGTGGTATTTATGCACTCTCCAGTTCCATCCATGCTGTGGCAAATGGTAAGCGTTCCTTTTTCTTCTTCCTCTTCTTAGAG